CAATCAAGTCTTTCACCCTTTCGAAACTAGCTTGTGCATCCGTTGTCCACACTAAGGTTGAACTTCTCCGTAGTAATTCTCATAACGGTTCAATGACAGAAGCATAATTGGGAATGAATTTTGCATACCAGGAGGTAAGACCCAAGAAGGAACGTAAGGTTTGCAAATCTGTTGGAGGAGGAGCATTTGAAATTGCTAGGATATAATCTGGATCAGGTTTTAGTCCAGCCTGTGAAATTATATTCCCCAGAATTGAGGAGGCTGGGAGAGTTACAGAGTGTGCAGCTACAGCTTGGAAAGAGATTTCCACTGTAAATAAAGTTCTGTTGAAGTTTGTTAATACCGTGCCTGGTTGATACAACTCTTGAATAAACTTGGGCAAGTCATGTAACCTTTCTGCCTCACTTTCCCACTCTGTGAACTATATTTACACATACCCTGATGTTGTCTATGGTTGTGTGTAGCGTTGCAGTGATTGAAGAGAAGTATTTGCTATTGTGATATTCAGTGTTTAAATTCTGTTCTTCATAAATCCTGTGCCAAAAGTTCCTATTTTCCACGTCCTTCCTCAGCTTCTTTGAGGCATTGTGTATTTTGCTGTAAGTTTTCAACAATGGTATACTTCACATATGGCAGAGATTCCTCTCCCAGTATACCTGTGTGCTCTCTCTCTCCTGTTGTGTATGATGTTAAAGCCAGATTCATATAAAGAAATCTTGCAATGCAATTCTGTGGACTCGTTCCATTCTTTGGCATGACAAAGTATAGGGATGGGAGGGTATTTCATATGTAGCCCTGGGAAAAGAACCCACAAGGACCTGGTCTAGTTCAAATTCTGGTCCTGATTCTATGGACTTTTACACCAGTGTAAATCAGAAGTGTTACTAAAGCCAGTGGAGTTAAACCAGTGTAAAGTTGGTGTGAAAGAGAGAGGAGAACTGAGCCCTGTTTGCATTTCTCTGCCTGGGCCAGATTTCTGTCATTTTCTGGAATCTGTGGCACAGTCAAAGCTACTAACAAGGAAAGGAAAGCAGAAATAGCTTTACATCATTATAGAACCAGCTCTATTTCTCCCCAGGGATTAACACAGGCATCTGAGAAACTGGCTTGTGATTTAATTCCGAACCATTGAGCAGGTGGATGGCACTATGGCTTCTAACAGGATTTCGGTGAAAGGCAGATTCTAGCTAGATACTAACTTGGAATGTTTCCCTGGGGGATAGCCAAGTCGCCCCTATGCTGTCTTGTGCCTGCAGTCCTTCCAGCTGAGAACTACTCTCGACTTCATTGGGCCTCTGGCAGTGTTCGGTAATGAGAGAGCAGAATCTGAGCTCTGGGCTCAGTATCTTGCATGGCAATGCAGAATAGGGACCACTCGAGATATTGGGCCTCGAGAGTGTTGTAGGCCCAGCTAAGCGGTGTGCTGATGTGGTTGGGGAGTGCTCTGAATGTCATCTTGCACTGACACTGCTGAAAAGAATGGAGGTTACACTAACTCCAGAGGCTTTGACTCTGCTGGGGGAGGAGGAGAAAGAACTGAAGAGACCACAGGGCGTTGGCTGAAGGAAGTGCTCTGCGACTGGTGAATTTGAAGTATACCATTGTTGGGAACTTACTGCTGGACTGATCAGGCTATGTGTACCACATATTCAGTTGCACTGGCAATTCTTGCACCAAAGGTTCCCGTAATAAGATGTCAACTGATGGAATTTCCCGTCTCATAGTAGGACCCCACTATCCCACAGACTGGGCAAGATATGGCCCACAAAGAAAAGATGACAGTCAGGATCTACCACCCTAAGCTCGGATATGCAGCTCAGCATTTTCGCTTCAGGTGTGGCTGCGATGAGTCAGTGCAGACCATGTTGGAGAGAGGAATGGAACAAAATTCCCCATCTGCATTAGAGGAAGGAAGCTGAAAATGAATGATCAGTATGAAATCCTTCACCTGTGCATTAATTTTGTTTTTAGGAATCTCTTCTCTAAGTTTTGCCAACTCGCCTCATTGCTGCTACTTTGCAGCACCTCCAACTGTTCCAGTCCTGGGTTCACCCACAGTGTAACTGCCGCGCAGTGTAACTGCCCTGGCTTGGCAGCTGGGTTCCCTGTACATCATATTTTTGGAGTGGGAACTAGGGGTTGTCCCAGCACTTTGCTCTCCATCATGATGCAACCAAGTTAGTCTTCCATCAAGAAGGAGCATGTAGATGAGATCAGAATTACAGCATCAGCTATCAACAATAAATAATGATTGAGTTGGGGTCTCTGGCTATCTGCAAGGGGTCTTGTCCAGTGCTGCATCTCCAGGGAGCAATGGGGCATTGAACGGTGCTGCTGAAAACTGGAGCAACAAAGCCCAGCTCTTTAGAACTGGGACGCCTTTGTGCTATCCCTTGGGCTCGTGTTGTGCAGCTGATACTGTGGGTCTTTCTTGTTAACATTGTGGTTAAGCTGGTTCTTATTTCATTCTGATCTGAGCCTTGCCGCAGCTGGGGCATGTGAAGCTATGTGCGGAAAAACTGGCTTTCCTAGGAAGTGGGCTGGTGGTAGATGTTTCCATGACAACTTCGCTCATCTTGGGGCTGATCCCTGAGCCTTGTGACATACTCGTGAGGAAAACCACTGGTTACAGAAAGAGCGGAGATAAAATTTACGCACCTCTCGTCAGACCTGAGCCTCCTGTGGTTGGTTGACAGCCTCAAAACTCTACCCCTCTGCATGGGTAACCAGAGGTTAAGAATACAACTTGCAATGTACCGAGTGAGCCAGACATTGTCAGTATAACTGCCCTCATTGGCTCTCTAATATGGATTTCTTTCTTACTGCAAAATCCATCTAGTCACTTCCTGCTCAAGCGCTTTGCCGCTCTTCTGTTATTCACGGAGTGGCTAGCCAGTGCAGAATCAATAACTACTCCCTACAAGCAGCCTGGATTCCTCATAGGCACCAGCCAGGATCTCCACCTAGGGATGCTCTTTCTCACCCTCAGCATGCAGTAGCGAGTGCGAAAAGGAGCACCGTTTCTTTTGCAGTGTAAGATGAATCTTACCTCTGCGTAAGAGCTTTTTCAAATCTTCATTTAACTTTTGCACTCTCGCTAGTGATCACTGGCATTTGCCTTTGCACTGAGGGGCGGTCAGCCTCTGTAAGCTCATCTGGGACCCGTCTATCAGGGCAGCAGCATTTCTTGGGTGGAGTTCCTGCTCAGAATGTGTGCTGTGCTTTTCATTTGACTGCAGGTCTTGCTTTGTGCTGTGCAATGCAGAGTGGCTTGGTAGTTGACTAGCAGCTGCTTGAATAGACAGGGGAACGCTCAGTTGGGGACCAAAGAATGTCCTCTAGATTCTCCAGGGAGCCAGAAAAGGAGTGTATTTCTTGTAAGGTCTTTTTTTTTAGGACACATTTTGCTTTTGTTTTTAAAGAAAACCTGAAATGCCTTCTGAGTAAATAGGACTGTACATCTTTAAAGCACCGAGAAGGGATGGAAACTGCAGCTGAGAGAGAATTCAGGAACAAGAAGCCACAAAAACGCAACCTGGGTGTGGTATGAGTAATAAACACTTAGCTCTCTGAAGGCTTTGTGGCTGCCACAGTAAGTGTTGGTGGGGAGGGCATGAAGGGTGTGTAGGGACTGTGGGGCGTATGTTTGTGTGTGCATAGGGGTGCTTGGCAATAGAATGGGGCCTAAGCTGCATGACTGAAGCCTTATTACAACTTAAAATAAAATGGTTAATATAGACTTTCTTTGCATGTGCCTTTGCATTTCTCTTGCTGTGAACTGCATGAAAATTGCTTTGTAAACATACACTGCCTAGATCTAAATAAGCCTCTCTGCACAGTGCTTATACTGCGTTCCTGTGATGCTGCCCTGACATAGAATAGGGAGCCTGACTTTCCAACCCTGCAGCATGATATTCCGGAGGACCTGTTAACTCTTTCAGACAGCGCATGTGCAGAAGGCACAGTTGATAAGGATGTTGTTTAGCTCGAATTGGTCATGGGTGTTTCCTTGCCTCCTCTTAGGCTCCTCTCAGTCATTTCCTCCTCTAGCGGCTCAGTGTGTTCAGCGGGAGCTTGCACAGGAGGGTCTGAGATCTAACCAGATATTTGTAAAGAGAGGGCTCAAAATGATGGAAAAAGAATTCTGGAAATATTAGACTGGTGGGCTGGCCTGGTACTGTAATGGCTGTACAGCAGATCTTGCTTCATTCTCCCTGGCTGGGAGTGATGAGGCTGCACTGTGCTCAGGCCAGGAGAGCAATATTTACCGGAATAGTAGCTGTACACGGTATGTGCATGTGCTCAGGTTGTTGATCAGAAAGGTCAGAGCCCATGCGCTTGTGGATAGCAGTGGCTGGAGCACGCCACAGCTTTGAGGAGATGTTAGGCCATGCACACTCATGCCCCAGTATGTGATGCAGCAGTCCACAAGGAACATACTGTGTGTGAGGCATGAGTTTACCCTGCAAATATATCCCCCTTTCCTACTTCCAAACAAAGAATTTGAGCAAACCTAACGCTCTCTTCCAATGAAGGTCTGTTGTTAATAATCTTATCTCATGAGGTCACTTGGTAGTTAGCCTGTACTGCGTACATTAAGACAAGAGCAATGGTGTCCGTGTCCTAAATGTTGATATTCCTCCCCTTCCCTTATTGCTGAGTCATAATGGATTCCGTGCAGTACATTTTATCTAAGGACCCCATCCGTCAATAGCAGGTGAGATTATCTCCAAATGGGACACACTGCCAAGCACACCCTGCTGGTCTGTTCTCTCTAAGCTGCTTTTACAACTTTTCTTTGGTTATTTCTCTGCCCCAAAGACTATTTAAGGCCTTGATCCTCCAATCTGATGGGTGCAGGCAAGCTCATAGACCCGGGCAGAGTCCCACTGAAGTCAGCAGGTCTTTGAAGGGACCCACCCATAGATACAGTTTCAGGTACAGGCCCTTGAATGGTAAAAGTCTTTGGGGCAATAACTGTGCTGCCTTCTCCGTCTACACAGCACTGAGTAAACTCTAGGTGTTCAACAAGTAAATAACGACGTTTCACTGTGCAGATGGTAGGGATCCCTGGACGATGGTTTGGGAACCTCTAGGTCAGTCCTATGGGGAGCTCTGTTGTTTTGTGAGAGAAGGAAGGAGCAGGGTGGACAAGGGTGGACTGCAAGTGAGAGGTCTAATTCAGCTGCAATATCGAATGAATTCTTTCACTCTTTTGCAGATCTCTACTTTTACTGGGAGCAACTTTGATGATCTGAAGCATCGTCCTACCAGACATGGATACCTCAAAGCCTACGTACAAGAAGCCAGGCCTGTCGCAGAACAGGCTGATCGGTTTGATAGAAACGGATGACAGCATCCAGGAAGGTAGTTCTGCAGCTGGTAAACAGGGAGAAAATAAAGGGGCCAAAGGAGGGAAGGAAAAACCGCCCCTGGAGACTCCTTACAAGAAAGAGAGCAGTGACTTTGAACCAAAAATCAAGATTAACTTGAATTATCGACCAGGACTTTCCAGCAAGTAAGTAATTGTGGGATTTGCCCTTGGGAAGCCTTCCATTCAAGGCTTCCCAAATTCAAGCTGGTGCCAGAAACTTTGCAAGAGACTGAAAATGCATTCTTCCTGAGGGGGTGGTACGCAGATGGAGAGGGGTACATACTACCCCTTTCCCCCACCCTCAGAGAGGGCACCTCTGTCTGGAACCAGAAGGTGCTGAGGCTAATACAAACAAACAAAAAAAGGGGTTGAGGGAGTTAGCTCTCTTTTTGTTCTTTGACTTGAAAGAGTTTAATTCTTTCTTCTGCCAAACCGCCGTGCCCATCACACTTCTTACAGCGAAACCATAGCAGCTCCCCCATCACGGGAGATTGATACATAATCTCTTGTGGCGTGTCTAAAACATGGTTAACTCTTCACATTTCTCCAGTAGCCAAAAGGACCCAAATCGCTTTGATAGAGATCGGCTCTTTGGTGCTGTCTCGAGGGGTAACCGGGAGGAGCTGGATGGTTTGCTTGATTACTTGAGCAGGACTTCTAAATTTCTCTCCGATTCAAGATATACAGGTAGATACAGGCTCAGTACTCTGGTGATTTAACACAGACATACCTTGATAGTGGCCCGCATAGCTCAAAGGGTTTGTTGCTCACTTTGAATAAGCACCAAACCAAAAGTCTCTAGGCTCACAGCTCCCCCTGCCCACAATATGCCCTTCCACCAAATCAAAAGTTTGGACTCTGAACCTCTTGCAGCCACAAACAAGTGTGGTCTAGGGCTAGAGCACAGGGGTCTGGGTGCTGCTCCCAGTTCCGCCACTGGCCTTATGTCAGGCAAATCGCTTCCTTTTCCCATGTCTGACTTTCCCCATCTGTGAAATGAAGATAGTGATGCTTTTACCCACCTATATGCAAAGCACTTTGAGATCTGTGAATGTAAAGTGCTAAGCAGTATGGTTTTTCTAAGCTCTTTGCGTCTAATGCAGGCTGGAAATACTGTGAGAAAGGGATTTTTAATTAATGTATTTAATGCTACATTGACAGTTAAGTTCTGGGCAAGATGAAACTGATGGTGCAGTCATGTACAAAGCACAGTTATGCCCCTCTCCATGCTCTCTCTCTCTCTACCAGATGCTGAGACGGGTAAGACCTGCTTAATGAAAGCCCTGCTGAATTTAAAAGATGGGACAAATCCCACTATCCCACGGTTGCTAGAAATAGACCAGAAGACTGAGAATCCAAGGCCACTTGTCAATGCTGCATGCACCAATAGTTACTATGCAGGTAAGGGTTCTCCAGGACTGTGTGTCTGACTTTGAGGTCAATAATCAGCAGCAGCTATGGAAAATAACGGGAATTGGATGGATGCATAATTGATAGTATGCTGGAGTTCTTTGTTTGTGGATTGGGTATACCGATGGCCTGAACACAGAAAAGGGAGCTGGGCATTTCTGAGTTCTAATTCTGTCTCTGATACCTACTTCTCTGCCCTTGAGCAATTCACTTAACTTCTCTGTGCCTCAGTTCTCTCATCTGAGAAATGGGGGTAATACTGGTTTATTTACCGAGGATTATGGTGAGGTTCTGTTAAGGTTTGTAAAGTGCTTTGGAGAAGGAAAAAGATTACGTAGTATTGTTCAGTGAAAACAAGTTACATTTAAGAAATGAATGAGTTCTGCCAAGTGGATTTATCCTTTTAATAGCAAATATTCCAAAGGAACATACCCCTGTGTGAATGTATATTACCTCTATCTTTCTAGATCATTATTACTGCTTCATGGTCAGATCTGAGATCTTATTGTAGCTCTAAGAGATTTTACACCATTCAGCTCCTCATAGTCTTGGGGGAGTTTGTGTCTGACAGCTCATGTGCTCAGTGTTCAAATTGCATTTCCAACAGTCGCTGTTGCAAAGTCAGCATTTGCCACCAGTTCCCTGCACACAGTATGTCTGGGAGTCCATGATTATTTCACCATATTGACAGTATTGCTGTGGGTGATTTGATACATTGGTGGGGTTTTCTGGAAAGGCCTTTCCTGCTCCATCTGTCCCTGGCACCATTACAACAAGCTCTGACTGTAATGCCTGTTTCCTTAGGCCAGACTGCACTCCACATTGCCATAGAGAAGAGGCACCTAGATTTAGTGAAACTGCTGGTAGAGAATGGAGCCGACGTCCACGCCAGAGCCCATGGTGAATTTTTCAGGAAGAAGAAAGGAGGAGTGTGTTTTTATTTTGGTAAGCCAGCATTGCAGGCTCCGGCTTGCTATCTGGGAACTCTGCAGTATGTGGAGACACTGTCTCATCCTGGGTTTGCCACTTCATGCATTTGGTGTAATCTCCTCCATCCCATAACCACAGGTGTCCCATCCTACTGGGGTAGCTAAACATCTTCACCAGACTGAGCTCTCCTCTGAACCAGTCGGTGCTTGCCTCCTGCTGTTCAGTTGTGTGCCCTTGTCCCTGTCTAGGGACATGGGACTGCTTCAGACCCCCCACATGTGTGGACTAAGCCCAAAAATAGATGGAGGGACTGGGTGCAGCCAAAATCTGAGTCTGGCAAAGTGGTCCAGCTGCTCCCAGAAGTAGTGAGGGGCTGTTTTTCCCGTACCAATTAACTACAAAACATCCAAGCCTGAATACAGAGATTCAGCAAGAAAAAGCCCACCACTGTTACAGTGACAAGACTCTGCAGACTAAGATAAATACATGTTCTTCCTAAAACTACTTTTTTTTTTCCCCCCCAAACCCTGCCTCCATCTTTCCAGGTGAACTTCCCCTCTCCTTGGCTGCCTGCACCAACCAGTTTGATGTGATAAAATACCTCCTTGATAACCCCTACCAGAAAGCCAGGCTCCAGGAACAGGATTCCCTGGGCAACACAGTTCTCCATGCCCTGGTGGTGATCGCAGATGACACCAAGCAGAATACTGAGTTAGTGTGCAAGATGTATGATGAGATCTTAAAGGCAGGCACGAAGATTAACCCAGCAGAGAAGCTCGAGGAGATAGTGAACCAGGCTGGGTTAACGCCACTGAAACTGGCTGCCAAGAAGGGCAAAGTAGAGGTAAACGCCACGAGAGTGATTCTCTGGGCATGGCTAGAAATAGTGAGGACAGTGGAGTGAGTCCCCTGCCTAGAGGCTGGGTCTGATGTATGTGCATCCTACGTTACTGCACATGAGACTCTCCAGCAGTGCCACTGCAGGAGTCATGAAGAAACCCTCTTCCAGACCCTCGCGTTAGGAGCTGTGCTGATGTGATCACAGCTGGGAGCTCCTGGGCTGGGTTGAGAGTTGTTACTCCTTTTACAGAGCTTGTAGAAGTTGTGCTTAGTTTGCCTCAAGTTCTTGGCCGGATCGTATATATGACCAAGAACATATCTGCAAAGTGTTTGCAGGAAGCAGGGTTACAGGTTTGAAGACAACTCGGGTACGCTGGGAATTTCATTTTACATCCTAATGTATAATTAGTATAATACACATAAACTTTCCCTTCAGATCTTCAGACACATTCTCCAAAGAGAGATCAAGGATCCAGAGTACCGGCACCTGTCTCGCAAGTTCACTGAATGGACCTATGGACCCGTCCATGTATCTCTCTATGACTTGTCCTCTGTAGATAGTTATGAGAAAAACTCTGTGCTGGAGATCCTTGCTGAGAGCAGTGACACACCAGTGAGTCCTGAGAACTTATTTAAAATCAAATACAGAATGGCTTTGTCCAGTGTTTTATAGTGTTGCCGTAAATCATGTAGATTAATTTGGCATTTCAGATTGTTTTATTTTAGGGAAATAAAATGTTTGAATTTGTTCATTGTTAATGATGAGGACTTTACATATATGGTTAACATTATTAAACCCCTTCAGATTTGTTGCTAATCTGCAATAAGGAAGGAGTTTGAGACATTTATATTCTGTTCCCTGACGTGGAGCAGTGACTTAGCCTGGATCTCTCCAAATACAGGGCTACAGGACGCAGGCAGTATCCAAGGCCAATAGGATGCCAGGGTCCTTTCATTCTGAGAGGTCTGATGAAATAGACATGCAGGGCTTCTGGCCACTGAATTCCAACATTGGATCAAGAAGGCTTTATGGTGATTCTGGATCTCTGACGATGTGTTATTTTTTCTTCCTCTCACCCTAGAATCGATACAAGATGGTAGTTTTGGAGCCGCTGAACAAATCTGCTTCAGCACAAATGGGACTCGTTCGCTGCCAGGAGATTTTACTTAAGTTTTTTCTGTTATTTTATATTCATGGCCATCTTCACGGTCCTTGCTTACCATCGTCCCCTGCAGTTACAGGTAGGGCTGGTTTACTTGGATGGGGTGGAGTGAGCTTGAATGCTGGGGCTGTGGTTTAAGGGGTTTAAAGGGCTTTGGGTGGCTACAGCTCCCGCTGCTGTCTTCATATTCTTGTTTTTATCTTGCAGTCTCCATTTCGAGCAGAGTTCACAGCTGTCGGCTTCTTGCAGCTCACTGGACAGATCATTGTTTTCCTGGGAGGCTTTTATCTCATAATTGCTCAGGTACAAAGATCTCTAACCTGTCTGCTCTGAAATAAAACAGCCATCCCCATGGCATTGGTACACCACTCTTATTTATTTCCATAATACCATAAATGTGCACGAAGCTGGACAGATAAATGGAAGGAGAGGTTCTTGCCATCAGGTGCTTGCAATACAAGCAGGATATAGCAAGCAAAGGATGACAGAAAGGGAGGATTAGTAAGATGGGCACAATGTAAAAGATCACAAGAGGGGTTTTGTGTTATACAATAGTAAATATACATTAATTATTGGATACACTGTATTAAAAAGACACATACAAGATCTGTGGCTCAGTTACTATTTCTTTATTGGCTCTTTGTTACCAGGAGCCCTTTTCCATCACTGAAGAGGGATGGTCTGAATTTTTCTATCATTGGAACAAATGATATAAATAAAAAGGCTCTGAAGAAACCATTCACTATGCAGTAATTATCCCAGCAGAGACTGGACTCAGATGTGTCTTGCTGCGTTAACGAATGTCCCTGTTGATTTCTCTCTTTTCTGATAGATTCTGTACTTTTTGAGGAGATGGCGGAACCTGAAGAATGTGTTCTCTGATGGCTGCATTGAGGTCTTTCTGTACGTGGGAAATGAAAGTTAATGTGAAATTAAACCTCTGTTAAGAGGCAGCTGAACTGGCACGAGGTAGCTAGGCGGGTGGTGAGCAGAAATGACCCATTCTCTCACACAGCGTGCTTGTTCTGCTGTTATGTCATCTTTCCAACCAACTCTTTGCTGGTTTCTTCCACCAGTTGCCTCTTGTCATAATTCTAGATTGTGAGCTCTCTGGGTCAGGGACTGTCTTTCTCTTTTGTTCAATTGAACCCTGCCTGGTGCAATAGAGCCTTGACCCTTGGTTGGGGCTACTGTAATACAGATGATGATAACATGAACTTCTTCCTCGAGTGCTTGCTCATATCAATTCCAGTTAGGTGTGCACGCCGTGTGCATGGATGTCGGAAACTTTTCCCCTAGCAGCTACCCATCGGGCCGGCTGTGGAGCTCCCTGGAGTGGCGCTGATATGGTGCTTTATATATGACCCTGCCGGCCCAACCCCCCTTCAGTTCCTTCTTGCCGGCTACTCCGACAGAGGGGACAATGGGGGGGAATGGAATAGATATGAGCAACACATCTCGAAGAACAACAGTTACAGAAAGGTGAGTAACCGTTTTTTATATGTGGAATTGCTCATTTAGTGACTGGGATTTGGCCAGGTGGCCTAGTGGACAAAGCACTGGACTGGGACTCAGGAGACTTGGGGTCCATTTCTGGCTCCACCAGTGGCTCCCATTGAAGTCATGGCCTTGGGCGTGTCATTTAATCTTCCCGTGCCTCAGTTTCCTAGTCTGTAAAATGGGGATAATACACTGACCTCCATTTGTAACGCACATTGAGATCAATGGTTGAAGAGCACTATATGAGAGCGAGGTGTTTTTGTTAAGGGGAAGAGACTTTATAATTTGTGTGTGTGTGTGTGTATTTCTATATGTGATGGGTCTGATTCTCTCAATTTTTATACCAGTTACACGTGTGTAACTCCACTGAAATCAGGCCTGGTGTATGTGAATGTATCTGGTGGAAAAGAGATGAGAGTCAGGCCCAGTATCTCTGAGATTTTCCATAATGTGAACTTCGCTAACGTCTAATGAATCTGCAATTTATTTGTGCAGAAAGTAGGTTGCAGATGGATTTAGATACTAACTCACCTATAACTACAGGGTCTGATTAGCTGCCACTTTATACCCCATTGGGTAACCCTGAAAGATGCAGCTGGCTGTGCCCAGTGTGACACAAAAAGGATTTGGCATTGAGACTTACAGCTCACTGTGTGACTATGATTGTTTCCTCTCCTTCCCCCAGCTTGCTCCAGGCATTCTCGCTGCTGCTTTCAGCTGTGCTGTATATTGTGGGTTCAGAAGACTATGTGCCGACGATGGTATTCTCCTTACTGCTGGGATGGGTGAACATGCTGTACTACACTCGGGGCTTCCAGTGGACTGGGATCTATTGTGTCATGATACAGAAGGTCAGTATGGAGAAACAGCCTGTAAGAGATGCTCAGGGACATGCAGCATTGTCCAAATGCTGCAGTTACTGTTCTCCTGTCAGGACCATCAGAAACATGCAAGGAGTTAATACGTAGGCTGTGGACCCTGAGTTTGAGTAAATGTATTCTCTCGGGGGAGGTGGAATGCTGCATGAGGCAGACCACTGGCTCAGTTTGCAGCAGGCTTTCAAATACTGGCTCAAGTCACAAGAAAAAAGGAGTTTGTTGGGACTCATCCTGGTCCCCCACAGTAGCCGGTCACACAAAAAATCCCCCCAAACCAAAACACACCACCAGACAGAGCAGCAGTCTGTTCAGGAGATGTTTCCTAGCATTGGAAAGTCTGGATTGAGGCATCTGAGCAGATTTGTGTGTGGCGCTCAGGATTGGAGAAGCATGTCAGAGATGAGGTAAGGGAACTGTTTCTGTGCTTGTTTCATTTAAATTAAGATGGTTAAAAGCAGCATTTTTCTTCTGCAGGGTAAAGTTTCAAAGCTGTATTAAGTCAATGTTCAGTTGTAAACGTTTGAAAGAACCACCACAATGTTTTGTTCAGTTACAAACATTTCAGGGGTATGAACAGTTCCATTCCCGAGGTGTTCGTAACTCTGAGGTTATACTGTGTGTCTTATTCAACCTTTGAAAACAGCAGGGTCTGAAGGAAAGAACTTAGGGTTGAGAGCCAGGAACTCCTGAGTTCTGAGCTTAACACTGCTACCCAGTTGCTGTGTGACCTTGAGCAAGTCTCTCAGCCTTTTATATCTGCACTTCCTCTGTGATGCTTTCTCGGGGCACTCAGGCCTGAGAGTCATCTTGTTACCCCCTGCCTCAGGGGGAGAAAAACTTGCTGCTGCTAAACTGGGTGCCAGCTCCCTGACACCCCAGTCTATTAGACACCCAAACAATCTGCCCAGAACTCTGCCAGCCTTTACTCTGTATTGCAGATAACAGTCCCTCGAACACCTCAGAAGAGTCTCCCTGTGGTGTCCAGCCCCTTTCATTGGACATTCACAGTAATTACTAAGACCACTGCCTCCAGAGAGATCACGTATCCCCCAGCTTGCTTGGTTCAGCCGAGGATGCACTCTTTACTTAATATCACAGTCCTGAGATTAATTTATAATAAAAAAAAAGTGTATTTACAAAGAACAGAGAATCACAGATTCAAGTGAGCAAGAACTATGGAAACAGATGGTTATAATAAATCAGAAGCATAACATGCATCTAAGAGTCTAATCATAACCTTGACAGGCTACTCTCCTGTATCGCAAAACATTTCTGCCCTGAAAGATCTTATGCAGAGCTTGCTGATCTTCATTCAATTCAGGATCCAGGTTGTTATGAACCACCCCCTTCCTCCAAGGATGTTCCTAAGTGAAAGTTTGTCGTTGTTTCTAGAGGCAGGAAAACCCCTGGTGCTCAGAGTCCTGTGTGCTCTCCCCTGTTGGTTTCACTCCCACCCCCACCCGTCAAACTGTTGTCTTTATATGCAAATAGCACTTCCTGTGTGTTGGTTTCAAAATGCTTAATTTACATTAGAGACAGGGTGGATAGGCTGTTCTAGGTCGCTTTGTCTGCTGAAAGATGCTTATCAACCCTGCCTGGAACACAGATTCTAAAAATATTTTCTGTCTATACATACAACTTTTAAAATAATACCCATACTTGTATCTCTCAATGCTTATGACGACCAGTATGGTGTAAGCTTTCCTTTGGTCCCTCACAACATTCTTTATAGATAAATATGATGATAGCAATGAGTTAGGTGTACCGAGTTTGTCAGGCCTGATAGGCGTTAGTGACTCAGAGCAGTGAACCACCAGTGGGCCTCTGTATCACATCCTCATCTATTGAATGGGAGTAATAATAATACTTCCTGACCTGCCTCCCTTGTGAGGGACTGTGGGGATTGAGTTAATGTTGCCAGAACTGATTTAGAGCCAAATATCATTATTTGATAGGTGTGCTAGTTTCCTGTTGTCCTGGTGATTTTGTGCTGTATAAACATCATGTGAGGTTATTGGTGATTAATAACACTGCCTTTTGCTCTGTCCGCAGACTATCCTGAGGGACCTGCTACGCTTCCTCATGGTTTACGTGATCTTCCTCTTTGGCTTTGCGGCAGGTGAGGATTGACTCAGCACCGTGTTACAGGCAGACCTGCCAGGAAGAGACTTGCCAAGAAAGATTCATTGTTCTGCTTTTGTTACAGCTCTGGTCACCCTCACAGGGGATGCCCCTCCGGCTTCCCAGAACACGTCTGTTACCCCAGAGGACGGCGATAAAGGCCATGTTGTGTACAGTGGGCTGCTGAGCACTTCCTTGGAGCTCTTCAAGTTCACCATTGGCATGGGGGACCTGGAGTTCCAGGAGCACGTGAAATTCAAATACTTCGTCATGCTGCTGCTGCTGCTGTTTGTGATCCTGACCTACATCCTCCTGCTCAACATGCTGATCGCCCTCATGAGCGAGACTGTCACCAACGTCTCTGGTTACAGCAAGAGCGTCTGGAAGCTGCAGGTAAGTCTGTTGCACCGCTCACCTGGTCTCCAATATAGGCCTTATAACATATTATGCGCTAAATCTGGGCCTGTGGGAGCCATTTACAACAAATTCTCTCCCGCTGTGCATGCACTGAGATATAAGATTTGACGTTTTTGCTGAGCTCTAAGGTTTTATTTAAAGTACTAAAAGTGTAATGAGATCTTTCTCTCTCCACATTTCTATAGTACCCCTCACCTTAGTATCTAAAGTGCTGAGATAGGTGCCTTCCAGATCTACTTGTAAAGACTGTGACCTCCTTAATGGATGGGACTGTACATTTTAAGTGGTGCTTTGTCACTTCCCTGCCTCTGGGAGGGAAGAGGAAGTAACGCGGCGCAGGTGGTGCTTGTTGAGGGAAATTAACAGCTGAGTTTACTGGGAGATTTATTCCAACTCCTCAACCTGGGAGAGCTGATTCTGGTCTTCCAGATGCTCCATGCAAGCAAGCTCTCTTCGCAGATTGAGTGACAGCACCTTCAGCCAATAAACACTGGCTAAAACCCGACAGCATCACAACACTTTCATTGGTTGAGCATACCCTGGGAGCAAAACCATGTTATCAGACAGATGTTTAACCCTTTTGCAGGTGTCATGCTTTTGTTACTTGAGATGTTTCTGTTCTCGTATGTAGGGCTCTGTTAAGATTTGTCTGTTTTATACCTTCTGTTGGCTTACCCTGGTTTGGAGGAATTTCTAATGTGGTTAGCAGCTCCTTCCATGGCTGCTTGGTCATTGCCTGAACTAAGGGAGACCTTGTAAGGTGACAGTAGGCAGCACAGGCTGTGCTTAGTCAGTCTGGGAGCTAGAGAGAACTACAGGATCTGTCAGAGTCCAAAATCCCCTTTTATACTGATGGCAGCCCAGTCCTATCTTTTTCTCTATATAGAAAATTACAGAGTTTAGAGTAATTTCTTAAGTCCACAGGCCTAGGAGACTTTAGGGTATTTCCAGATAGCAGTAACAAAAGTGCCTTTCCAAGCCACGATACTTGGTGGATGGGGAAGACTTGATGGGAACTTAGGCTAGCTCAGCACCTGGTTTGTGGCTGCACCAGTTCCGCTCTAACATGGACTTGTATCCTCAGAGAGCCATTGCCATTCTGGAAATAGAGAAGTCCTGGCTGTGGTGCCCAAGAAGGAGGCAGAGATCTGGCTGCTTCTTGTCTGTGAGCCTTGATGATCAGAAAGATATGAGATGGTGTTTCAGGTAAGATAGAAAGTGGAGGCAGCTTCCCACATTCTGAATTCTGTGTCTGCGTGCTGGCATTATGTGTGAATGGGGGAGCCTGGTGTGTGTGTGTGTGTGTGCGTGTGTGTGTGCACACACGTGCGCGATTGGGGGGGGGATCAAGACATTACCCTACTCACTCCTAGATAATCGAGTATCTGTAGGTGCATTTCTCATGCTCCCCCATCACCTTTGTATCTAGGCATCGTGTAGTGCTGGTACTTCTACTGCCTTGTGTTACAGCCATGAGACTGTCATTCTCTCTTCCACTGCCCCTTTCTCCTGGAATGGGGCCCTTTGACCTGCAAGCTTGATCCTGAAAGGAAAGCAGCTGAACTCAGTCCGAGTGGTTTCAGTCAGTTGCAGCACACAGCAGTGGAATTACCGAATCAAACTCCCTGTGGCCTTGTCTACGCTAGTACTGTACTATTCCCAGCATTGGTTTTGGATGCATGCAACTCCACTGATGTTAGCAATGTGGGATGCTGTGGTGTAATCAAGCCTCAGGCATTTTACTGACGTGTCATCTTGCGCTGCTCTGAGAAGGTAAAAATGCTGGCAGCTCATCTACACTTGCGCTTCCACCCTTGCTACCAATGGTGGAGCTGTCCCGGTGCTAGACCACCTGTGGGAAGAGCATTAATATCGACACACCCTCAGTTTCCTGGCTATGTGAATACTGCTTGATAACACCTCTGCAACGTGCTAAGTGAACCCCACAAAGTGGCAGAACTCCCTTTGTTCATGTAAAGTGTGGGAGACTGGGACTTGGAATATCCCTTATCCTCATTTCAACAGAGGAGACCAAATCCAGAGTGCTCTGATAATGACACCAGGACTTTATGGATTGCATTGTATTACTCCATGCGTAGAGACCTTTTGGTGCATGAAAACTCCTTTAGTTAAGTGTGTCCCGTCCAGGCACTGGGGTGTTGTTATTTAAACACCGGCACTGTTCATAACACAGAGGAAGATACAGAACTAACACACTCCACAGGGCTTAGTAGCTAAATAAGAACTCCCTTGGCAACAAAGCCTTTTGTGGTACAGCCATTGCTGCTGCCGCCAAGTCATTAGTGCTGTGCTGATGAGACCACCATCCATCAGAATGGATGCCACTGAGATGCCAGAGATGCAGCCTTGGTACGCAGGTGTATGATCAGAATGTTTTGTCCCCATGCCTCATTGTCTACTGGCTGATGGGGAAAATCGTTCTATTTTCTGACTTCAGAGTGGAGGAGATTAACTGGGCCAACTGGGAAAAGGAGCTGGGAGTCATCAAGGAGGATCCTGGGAACTCCAGAGACTTGGAAATAGAATCCCTAGGTAAGACATCCCAGGGCTGAGCAGAAGATGTCGGCCCCTTTTCTACTACCTGCTGGGCAAATGCTTTGTGCACTTTGCCTGTTATCTCTTTGGTGGACTCTGTGTGCCAGAAATTTCAGGTGGGTTTGCCCTCACCCCCAATACACCCACTGAAAATGCTGTCTATCAAGTGTCCTGCAGCCATGGCACCTTCATTTGTGATCTGGTCAGCGCGCACAATCTAAGTAGGTTTGGGTCTGTTCAGTACTTGAATGGAGGACGCCTTAAGAAAAATAATGTTCTGTAGTAAACGCTGTTGAGGATTCAGTTAAGTGCCTTCAAGTCGAGACTCAACCAATGACCCAGGTGTTCCCTTTATAGGAAATGTAAAACTAAGGTCCAGACCAGGGTGTTGCTAAAGGTCCCAGGGCACATTCAGCAAGAGTCGGGGTGTTCACCTTGGCATTGTGGCCAAATTCTAACTTGTAGCGTCACATGCTAGTTGCCTGAACATCCTCTGCACTTTCAAGTGGATACAGTCGCCCCCCACCTCTTGTCCTAAGCTGTGGTGCAGCGTTACTGTGCATGGTTAAGCAGCCCTACACTGAAAACAGAGATTTGTTCCTTTCAATGAAAATATATTGTTTGCTTAATCTGCCAGGTCTTGTGTAGGAGCCCCATCAGGATTAACCCGATCCTTTCACTGTTCCATCTTTGGTTGGTCTCCAGCTGCTGGCCTAGAGGGAGTGGGATGGGGAGGTTCACAGCACTTCAAAAATACCTCAAATAGAATTTTTTTAGTTTTCTGTAAATCTGCAATAGCCCCAGGACCGGCTCAATACCCTCCTCCTTGCCTTTGTCATCTCCCTGCTAACTAAGGGCCACCATTGTTCTGTCTCCTGTTATAGTGAAGAGAGTGCGGGACAGGATGTCACGGGGGCAAGCAAACGCAGCAGCACCGGAGGAGCAGTTGCCGTTACAACCATTAGCCAGTGACTGAGATGAGGCCACTAGAAGAGGACAAGCCAAGAGACTGTAGCATGTTCTCGGCATCGGGATCCTGTTGTTGCTCCCATCCCAATGAATTCTTCATTCTGTGGTGCCACTAATATTGAGATGGAAAAGTAATCAGTATTAACATGTCTCATCAAAGACTGTTTCAGTCTGTTGCTTTTATGCATACAAAGTATTTCCTTTGAAGAAATCATTTCTGTTCAACTTCTTCTGCCTGATACTTTCTTCCTACAATGCTTAAAAAGAGGATGTGTGTGTGAGAGAGAGAGATTGGGGGGGTATCTCCTGGATGGACTGGCTTTGTAATCTAAGCCTCAGGTTTGAAATTTCTCTCTGGAAGCTTGGGTTAAACTTTCAGTTGGGTCAATTTAGCCCTTCATGCTGGTGAGACAGAAAAATTTAGTTCCATGCAGCTGTGTGTGTAGATCTTTTGGATGATACTTTTCCAAGCACAGGCCCTATCTGCTGTGTGCTGACAGGATAAGATACCATGTACTTTTTATGAGAACAGAAGTTTGTCCTAGTGTTTGTGGCCAAAAATATTTTCCCTTCTGCACTGTTATCCTCGGTCCCATATTTGACTGCATTTCAGGCAATCTATCTGGGACGTGCTTTGGAATTAAAGGTGCATAAAGCATTGTTCAAAGTTTCTGACTGCATGACGTTGGCTTGTATGCAAGACAGTGTGTGTCACTTTGGAAGGTATGTTAAGAGGTATTCAAGCTGAAACATTAAGCTCAGTGCAACAGCTTCTATCAGCAACGGTGGCAAATGTAGTCATTTTGACAGTCTCAAAACCACTGACATATACCTGAATTGAAGGTGGCAAAATCACTTGAAAGTTGTATGCTTTGCTAGCAGCTGCACTAAAAGCTGTTTCTTATTAAAACTGTGACTTAGAAATGCAAATTTATATGACATCCCTTCCCCGCAGATGTGCTCTTCTTCAAACGAGAGCAGCTGAGCACTGCATATCAGAGCTTCTTGAAGATGCAGGGGCTAATGCAACCTGTGCCATTTTCACCCTTCTTAAACAACTTCCTGTTTGGTCTTAGTGGGCTTCTGTCATGCTCCAAATGGTGGCTAAGGTTATGTTGATTTTCACATGTTGACCACCTCAGACAGAGAGAGAAGCATGCTGTGAAATTTTGCTGGAAAGCAGGAAGAGAAATAATGTCTTGGTTTAGTCCTCTGTATAAAAAAAGTGGCAGCTTGAAAAACTTTCCATACGGTATCAAGTGCACCAGGGGCGTTTCACTGACAGAGTTTGTCTCAGGGGTTTCTAGAGCTCCACGTACACACTACCTGGAGCGGGAGACCCAGGAGTGGAGGAGCACAGGGGATGATGTGCTCCAAGTCAGGGTTGGAGTGTGTTGGCAGAGTTGGGCGCAGCCCCTGCTTGCCCTAGGCCGGGCTCAAACCAGTGCTATCGGACCCTCATTTTCCTGAGCACTGAAATGTGACAGAGGGTGACCTCCAGACAATTCCTGCATCCACTTTTGAAATTGTAAATGCATCATCTTGGTTTCCAATGCGTCTTTGATCAGAGGGAACAGCCAGAGGCAGTGCTCAAAGAAGCATTTTAATACTAAAATGTTGGGGAAAGTGAGTACGCACTATGGCAGATTCGGCAAAGCAAGACCTACTGTTTCAGATCTCTGCCTGGAGGCGGAACAAGGAAACCAGGCAAGTTGTCATACAGAGATTAATCGACCCTCGGTCCTTTTGCTGAAGTGATACTGTCATGGATTGATTCCTTCGCCTCCCTCCCCACCCTGGTGGTATGTGACTGTCTGGTGTTCTTACCACCTTCTCAGCTGACTCTCCCTGCTAAATCTCAGACCCCTGCTCTAGCTACTAGATCACACTTCCCCAGGCATCACTGTCTGCTGCCTCTTATGGGTGAATGTGGCAAATCGCTTGAAAGTTGTACGCATTGCTAGCGTCAGCACTAAGGGCAAGAAGCTGTAGCAGGATTTCCTGGTGCTGGGAAAAGCTCTGTTTCCTTAGTTCCTGTCTCCCCATGGAGCCATGGAGCTGGAAAGGCAGGTACAGGGAGAATCTTAAATGTTTTACATATTCATTTATTTTATTGATTCTTCACGTTTTACAAGTTGAGCTCTTAGTCGGAGGAAGCCAAAGGTGTATCTGTCACACCAGCATGATTAACTTCCTCGGTAAACAAAGCATAACCCACAATAAGCGGGGGTGGAGAACTCTCTTTTTCTAAGGGAATCTGCTTCCAACGCCTTCTGAAGAAGACCAGAGCAATAAATTATTAGGAGCTACAGTTATCCTAATTCTGAGTCAGAGCAAGTTTCATCATTTAACCTCCCACCCTGAAATCTTCTGAGGCAAAAAGAAATCAGTAAATCACTAAGGAAAAACTGTGAAGGGGGAGAGAAATGGATCTTCAGTTCTCCTTTCAGGAGGCCAGAGTGCTGTAGGATTGGCTATTCTTATGTAGCGCCTAAGAGAGCTCCCCCAACCCTTACTACACATACTTTCCATTCTCTGGTTTGTGGCTAGCAGAAGGAGGCTTTGAAACCCAAGCCAAGGGGGTCTCAGCCCCTGAGAGAAAGAGAAGCTTTGAAAAGCTAGACGCTGCAGCCAAGTCTGCACAAGCTGCAGGGAGTTAGTTCTGCACCAATTCAGCTTGCAGACCTCTGATGCAAGTTGTTTCGTGACTAGCAGTGAGCTTTGCAACCATTGGGAATACAATTATAGTCTAGAAAAGGTTGGTTTTTTTTAAATGTTTCCTCTGGAGCTTTTAAAAACTCTTCATTTCTGAGAAGGCTTCAGACCTGCTGACTGAGTCACAGTGTGGCCAGACAGACAAGGATAGTGTGTGTGTGAGACTATCACGCCCACTGACTAACACATGCTAAACGTTCTCTTCTGATGTAATTTCTTCTCTGCAAAAGGAGCAGGCAAATATCTGTGAAATTGGAATAATGCTGCCCCTCTGTGCCACGAAGCTTAGTTGTTGAACATTTATAAAGCACTTTGTGATCCTTTGGGGTACGGGAGCTAAGAAAGGGCAAGGTAATAATATACTAACCTCCTTTTGGTATTGGGTACGTTTTTCTCTCCCAAGAACGTTGGGCATAATAAACACAGAAGCTGCAAGCTGGGAAAGACCAGCCTGTTTCTAGAAACGCTCCCTCTACTTCCCTGCCTTTCTGAGTGATTTCAGATGTAATGGAACTTCTCTAGCCCCTGAGCATTGCCAGTCTGTGGGGAAACCAGGTCTCTGCCAACATGAACCAGTTGCTTGCGGCTATTTCTGTTCAGCTGGAATCCAGTCACAAAATAGGTCAGAGCAGTGCGCCGGGCAGGTGAGACAGGGCAAGCCCCCGTGCCCTGACCCCATTTCCCTAGCAGGAGCACCGGGAGGGGGAGTGGGAGGGACCGCAGGTGGAAGGGGTGGAGAGGGGCCTCCACTTGCTCTTGCCCAGGGTCCCACAAACTCCTAATCCGCCTCTGGGTCAGAGTAGAATGCAGCACGGGTATTTAATGAACACATACTGACCCTTCCGACTCCTAGGCCTTGCCCCTATGAAATGTGGTACAGATACCCCAAAACGGGGGACACTGGGAGCAAAGGATTGGCAGCACAGGGGGTGGAAGAGATAAGGTTTCCTTTCGCGTGCCCTACATTTTCAGTAAACTTCCCTTTCAAGAGCCAACTTTTCTGATACTAACAATGTTCTAACTAGGGAGAGAGAAGCAGCATTGTGTGGGAAAGAGGAAAACCTGGGTCTAAAGTGAGCGATGTCTGTCATGAGGCACATCTGAAAGGTGACGTACCTTTTAAATCCCTACTTGAGTGTGTTGAAGTTTATTCCACTCTGTTACCAGGATATTTCCATAGGATGATGACACCTCCTGGTAGCTAGCATGGAAAGTGAAGATGGATAGTGCGAATACCTCACTTAGCAGTTTTCAAAGGTAACCCACAAGGATACCCTGGTGATGGCTACAGATAGACAGATAGAGGCACTGGTAAAAGTGGTCTGTCTGTAGTTTGTTGTCTCTATTTAAATTTAATTTTGCTAGCTACGCATTAAAACCCCAACTAGGAAATCCACAAAGACTTGCTTAACCCGTGTCTCAGCAACCAGCAGTCCTGAGAGAGTCATCTGCAGGCAGAGTGCAGATATTGTATCTACAGTCCTGCATCGTTCAGGTGAAAGCCAGGAACAGAGTTATGAGGTCCCTTCCATGCCTTCTCTTTTTAATAAGTAAGTGAATTTTATTTATTTTCTGCCCACCTACATTAGAAAACGTAAGTCTTGGACTGTGAAAAGAAAGTTGTGAATTTGAGGACTCAAGGTGGTCACTTAATCTAACCAAGTAAAGTGCTTTATGCCTGCAGTGTATTTTGGAAGTTTCAAGGTTTCAGCACTTGTCGTAGATACACTGTATAAAAGTTCTTGTTGCAAAATTATTGGTTTTCTAGTATTTCAGCATGATCAGCAAATGGTGGGAGTGGGGGTGGGTATTTCAGTGTCTTGTAGTTCTTGCAATTCTCTAGAAAAAGTTCATGTTAGTGAAATCCACTGGTCTCAGCTGTATTAAGGGGACAGACAGGTAGGTGCTCAGATACTATAGTGGTGAGGATCATATAAGTGCCTGGATATACAGATAGACTGCACTATATAATCATGATGAATCAACTGAGAACATTCTGCTCTCATTTACATAGGTAAAAAGCTATATTTAGTCAGTGAGGTTACTGTCTTTACACTGTTGTAATGGAGAGCCGAGTGTGGAACAATGTCTTTGTGTCCATCAGCTCCCCCTTTTATAAGCATCCTTAGGGATACATGTCCATGCACCAATCAGGGAATGCATTCAGAAATTCATTGCCCATGGAGGTTTGACTGGCTGAACTCTGATCAAGTGTTCTGAACTTAGTATTTAGGATAAAAAGAGAACCTCTTTCTCAGCCCTTTATTTGGAAATAAGAATTGATAATATAACTAGGAGGCAGATATGAATTAGAAAATTCACTCTGAAATTCCAGAAGTAAGAAGTTAAATATAAATGAGGACAAATAGCTGTTTAAAAACCTACGGACTTTTGACATTTGAGACCGTTATAAGACCCTGTTTTCAGTCGGTTATAACTTTTGCAAAACTTTAACCATTCAGGTTGAAATTTTCCATGCTAGGCTGGTGATTTATTTTGTGAAAGTTTCAATAAAACTTGTTCAGTCATTTCTGAGAATGAAATTATGACAAATATGGCGTTTTGCTCAGCTTAGAGAATTCTTACAACCATTTAGTTGAGTGTCTCTATGTTTTGGAGCAGGGACTTGAAATTTGTGAGTGGAGGTCAAAGATATGCTGTTTGCCATCCCTGTGAAAATTCTCCCAAATTTGGCCAAGCAACAAGCCTCTGAAAAATCACAGTTTGCACATATTCTTTAGAGACTTGCTGCCGTTTGTCAGCTAAATTCTCTGAAGATTGCATTTGCATTAATCCTGCTTCATCACTATGCAGTTCCTCTGTGCTGAATGGACTGCACGTGCCCTGTCTGCATAGAGCAGTGTCTTTCAACCTTTTTTCATTTACAATTTTTTTTTGAACGGAGGTGCAGACCACTTTGGAAATCTTAGACACAGTCTGCGGACCGCCAGGGGTCTGCAGACCAAAGGTTGAAAACCACTGGCCGAGAGCAATTGAGGATGCTTCATTTCCAGGCTGCTCCTTGCAGCTACTCCCCGCAGGAGCTCGGAGCTCTTTTGTCACCAAGCACCAGCAGTGAGACCCGGGAGACTGTCTCCTGTGTTTTCCATGTCCCTGCCGTTGGCACCCAAGCAGCTTGGAGGAGAAGGTGGAATCAGCCTGACTCACATGAAGCAACGAAGGAGGGGATAAGAGGGGAGGGAGTAGCAAACTTAATTCAGCCCCCTTCTACATATGTATTTTGTTACAATCTTGATGTGATCATATACAATTTCCTCCACAAGACCCCTGCCTTATTCAGTGCACTGGCTGGACAATGCTCTGGGGATGAATCAGGATTGTGTAGGAGACTGTTGTCTATAGAACCCCTTCCTCATCTGTGGCAGAAGTTGGAAGGTGTGTAGTGAATGAGGCAGGAGAATGCAGGAAGAGAGAGAATAGTCACATGGTTAAGGCAGTTGAATGCTGCCCTGGAAAACTGGACTGGCCACTTGTGTTCCTTATTTTATGGGTGCTCAATCTGAGACTGTGTGATTTGATTTGCAGAAGCACTGGTCACACAAAGCTGCAACTGAAGTTGTTTGGAGGAAGGCTTTGAACATATAAAGCACTATACAAATGCTAAACGCACTGAGAAATCAGGCCCAGGGCATCTCATGTTAGGCACACACAATTAGTGGACATTGACAATTTTGGGTTTAATCTCTCTGTGCTTCAATCCCCCATTAATAAAATGGGGCTAATCCTACCACTGCACCTCACAGGTGCGTGAAGATAAATTCACAGATGTCTGTGAAGCACTCAGCTAGCACAGTGAGGAGACCTTAGAAGAGTCCACGAGGAAATAAATTATTTGCAGGCTTTGGCTGGCATGTGGTGAATAAGTCTTGAGGCCTCACCCTGAAGGACGAGGATAAAAAGAAATATTGCCCAGCTCCCCACAGAGTGAGCATCCTCCACCCGGTGCATCGAATGAGGCAGGGTTCCCTTGGAAAAAACAGTATGTGTATCCGAATGCATAATCCTAAAGGGGGCGAATTAAGGGTGCACAAGTAACGTTAATTCTGGCATTTCCTAAATTCGGAGTGATTGGCTTTGCAACCTTAATGTTCTTTAAACATCATTTTTGTGTGCGTGTATTAGATCGCATGCATCTAAAATAGTTTTTATAGGTCAGCCATTGAAGAGTAGAGTATTGTCTGTTAGGTGTATTCTAGGATACTAACATTAGGTTAACATGCTCAAGATCAGAGTTATAAGTGACTTTCATCTTTATTAACCATGTAAACACTGCATGGAGATTTCTACAATACTAATTAAAACTCCCAAACTCCTACCCTGCCTAGATCTAACTCATGTAAACTTGAACTAAAATGGAATAACTGGCAGTGACCTCTATTCCATCTTAGCCTACAACAGAGCTTCTCTCTTCAGTGCACGTTGGTATCCTCTGTCACCAGGCGGACATCAGGGTAACACCTGGCTCAGCTCTGAGTGTGAGCATGTCCGGGTTATGTGCTGAGGAGCTTTCTAGCAGTTCTATCCCTTGTATATGAACTCCATCGCTATTTTGCCCATAAGGAGAGGACCATGTCCATCATGCATCGGTTAATATGTGACGCACACGTTTTTTCATTTTTTTTTTCACAAAAACATATTTTCAGAGTCTTGTCTGAACATGAAGTCCTTACTCCTCAGAACCCCTGCGGGAGGAAGATCAGTTTTAGCCTCCTTTTAAGAGTGGGGAGATTAAGGCACAGAAAGGAAGTGACTTGTTTATACAGCAAGTCATTGGCAGAGCTGTGTTTAGAATTTAGGAGTTCCTGGTTCCCAGCTCCGTGTTCTTTCCTCCAGCCTTTGCTACCTCCCAGTTTTAAGCAATTCCATGGCATTATTCATAAGAATAGAGGTTTGCCCCATGGCTGTAGTTTCGCCTTTCCCTTCTGCTGATGTGCTGTGTGCACTGGATGTCTGTGTGACTACCCCAGAGATGGCTGCTGTAGTAAGAGGAGGCCCTAAGATATAAACCTTGGTATCAAAGGCCCGGTATGAGGCCTAAGGCCTGAACTAAAGTAATGATCAAGACTTTGCTAACATAAAGCAAAGTTAAGCTGTGAGCCAGAGGCAGGCCCTGTTCACAAAAAGACTTAATTATTCATCTTCAAGTCTCTCCTTAAAAAATCTCCCCTGGCGTGATGGCTAAAATACCCCTGACAACAGATAGGGTGTTGATGCAACTACGAGAGTGAAGTTTCTCTTCAGCTGCTGTCTTGCTTTATACATCAACCCCTGTTCAAACTTTGCCCAATTGAGGGCAACATCAGCAATTTACCAGGGGCCTGAAAGCCACAACTCACTTGCATAAAAATGAGTCACCTTCCCCTACAATACTGATATCGTCTCTATGAGCCACACAAGTTCAGCTTTCACTGCTCCAGCCCGGCCACTCAGATAAAGACAATCAGTCCATTGTGTGTTGGGACTTGCAGGCAGCACCTCTATTATCAAATTAAGAGGCTTGTAGGCATCATTGTAGAACATATTGTGTTGCATTTTGACTGTGTCTCATTTGCTAATAAGAATACTTAGGACTTCGGCCACTCAGTGCAGCCAAGCATAAATACAGGCTAAATCTGAATAGTAATAATAATAATAATAGTAATGGAACTGTACACATACAGGTTGTTGTGTATACATTTCTGCATGATTTTTTTTGTTTCCAACCAATACACAACCCCAGGTGTGTGAAGGAGGTAAATTCTTTTTGGAGTGATGCGTCCTGCCAATGGGGACCAATTCTGGCCATTCACAAAATAATCTGAACTGCAGTAAATGGCTGCAACAAAGCAGTGAGTGCAAAGAGCACATACCAACATCACGCAGCACATTTTTCTTTTTGCAAAATATCTCTCCAGGAACTATTTGTGATTCCAAGATGCTAAGGTCTGTAATGTATAACTGCAAATCCAAGACGAAATCCAGGAGGATTGCTGATACTCAGCACAATTAGTGTGTTTAGAAGTTTTATAGTTGGTATTTGCAATTTGTAATATTCTATACTAGTAATTCCTCATGGTTTTAATATATGTTTACATATTAGGTACCTGTTAATTACCTGTAGCATGTGCATATTCCCAAAGGGCCAGATTCTGATCTAAATTACACTGGCATAAATCTTGAGTAACTCCCCTGAAATCAGTGAAATTACTCCAGATTAACACCAGTATAAGTGAGTTCAGAATGAGGCCCTAAGGTATTTATTTATTGTAGAATAGTGACAAGGGGACATATTTGCCTGTGTCGTATCAATGCATCTCCATCAATTTCAGCAGGCTTGCATATTGTAATACAGAGGCGCATGTGGACCATTTCAAGTTAACATTTTGGTTTGTGGCTTCCGTCTTCTGACAGTTTGAGATGTAGAACTGGCGAGCATTTACTCTGGTGCAAACAGCAAATCAGCAACCAAGGTAGGGCTCTGTGCTGGCTTCAGCTCCGGGTTTAAGACCTCCCCCTCCCCCCAGAACAGATTGTACACAGTGCAAGAGGCAGGGGCATAAAGCCAGCCTGCAGTAGGGGCAAAAGCCTTGGAGTGACAATAGCTGCAATTTGATGCATTAATGCAGGAGTCAGGTGTTTTAATGCTACTGCAGGATGCAAAGCAGGGCGGCGAGTCCGGCCGCCAAGTTCCAAAGAAATGGCATGCCATTCGCTAAAGCATGACTGAGGAAGCTGAAGCAAAACCTAAAACGCCCCCACACTGAGACCTGGGGTGCTTTGGGTCTATATATGAAGAAGCAGCAATCAGAATTTGGGGAAACAGCTTTGGCCACAATGTTTCACTTCTCCCTCCCGCTACATTGTAGCAGCCAGCTTATGAAATGACACCATCTTGTTGCACAGCTACAGGATCAAATTCTACTCCCACTAATACTGGAGTCGGAGGGCAGTGGGAGGAGGGTGGGTATAAAAGAGAACAGACCTTGGCTCTCCCGCACTCTGAAAAGCATGAGGGAAGATGGCCAAATCTTAGGATGAATATTTGGAAGTGGGCTCAAACTGCAATATCTGGATTTGGAGGTCTGGTTGTTCCAAGCCATGGGAGTTTTGGTTTGGAGTCATTTGCAAAATTGAGCTCCAGTTCTGAGACCAGTGTGGCCTAAAGGCTAGAGCACTGGACTGGGACTCAAGAGACCTGGGTTCTGTTCCAATCTCTGCCATTAGCCTGCTGGCTGAGCTTGGGCAAGTCACTTCACCTCTCTGTGCCCAGAAGATGTTGACCTGCTTTGTAAAGTGCTTCAAGATCTCGCAATGAAAAATGCTATGTTAGAGTTAGGTATTCTACTGTCCTGGGTGTGGATTTCAGACACCGCTTGCATTTGGATCCAGAGTTGGTTTGAGCTCTTCTCTCAGAATACAACCAAATGTTCCAAATTATCATAACATGTCAAATGTAGGATGGGTCAGTAGACCCCAAATAATGTAATTCACAATATGTATCATTGCGGGGCTACGTTTTATGTGTCTTTCAGGTTGGCCTATTTGTCTTACATTTCCAGTTTGTTACAGAGCGTCAAGTAGATGTGACATTTGTGGGTTGTACGGGCAGTGAAATATAACAAATGAATGGCGACCATGCAGGGTTTTCCGTCTGGGTCGTTTTAAGGCTCGAATTGTCACAGCAACTCATGGGGAAGATTCCACAGCAGCACGTCCCTGTGCTGTGGGCTGCGTTGCTGGCTGGCATGAACCTCTCTAAGAGACGAGGAAGAGAATGTGGTGTGCCCACGAAAAGGGGTTTCTCCTTGAGGGCACCAATCCTGGCCGGAGGTTATTCTCATTTGCTGGCTGTTCAGGACCTTATGTGAGACGAGCTGTTGGGTCTCAGTACCTCTGTGGGTTGGATGTGCATCCGCACCACCACTTCTGGCACTAACTTGCCCTCAGCCTCTCTGAATGTCCCTTGAAATCCAGGCTCTCCCCTCCTTGGAGTTGGTCTAGTCAGCTCTGGGTTGTAGGCAGCTACGCTGGTGGTGGGGGAGCAAATCCTGCCATTGTCCCGCCTGTATCTGAGTAGCCTCTTTCACCATCACTGAATCCACTGATAAAGGACCTCAGACGCGTCTGTGATGCAGTGCTTGCCTCGTGGTTTCTTGCCCTCAACAAGCAACAGTGGGAACTTGCTGTACTGCAACTAGATTTCAACGTTTCCTGCTCTGATGGTATTAATGTCAAGTGCAGGGGTCCTGCTGCCCAGTGGATAACCTACCCCAAAATCACACAGACCTCCCTTGCTCCTCGCTCTCAGCATGCTCCCTGTGGCCAGGTATCAGCTCCCTGGTATTAGGTTGTGTCTGGAGCGCTGCAGGACACTACAGGCTTGTCTCAGGCTATATTGCGGGGTCACCGTCACCACACGTCCTCCTGCCCTTTATGAGCCTCTGAGTAGGGGCTACTTATCCCATTGTTTAAAGTGAAGTATCGGGGGAGCCACATTGTGTCAGATAATAGGATCTTGAGTTATGGTGTCCTTTTTCTAATGAGCTGACAAGAAAGGCCTTGTTTGTTCCCTTTAATCTAAACCAACAAGGAGAATCTTGCTTCTGTTAATTGTTTCTATACCAGCCACGTGGTGTGGGGGCAGGGAGAGGGGCCAGGGGGAGAACATTAGCTCTGGAGGCTGTATTGTGAATGCTAACCCTGCCAGTCACCTTTCTGACTTTTGCTTTTGCAGCGGTAACGCCCCTGAGCAGCTTTAATATCGATACCCGCAAGAAGTGGATTACGCCGCCCACAGCCCCACTCTCTTGGCCCAAAGTTCTGCAGCATTCAGATGGGCGCAAGACCTGGTAAGGGCCCGAAGCTCCTTTCAGGCGTGTCGGACTAGCTGTTCTAGTATGGAAGGCACTGCCACCTCTGGAACTCCCATGCACCATTCTGGGGCCCAGTGCCCATCCCTGGTTCTTTCGGGCTTCTGTGAGCAATTTACAAGGCACCATCTTGCCTGTGTGGAGATGTAATTTTTTGTACACTTTAAGCCTGGCAATGGATTAGAACCCCAACGGTTTTTGAGTATTTTTTAAAAGCATTTCAGGTAATCTCTTCATGAAAGTGCCCCTGGATTCCATACTGCCCTTTCCCCAGCTAAGTCCTGGTGCTGTACAGACAGCGACTTCCTTCACCAGACCACCCCCCTACAGACACAGACAGCTGGTCTCCTGCTGCACATCCTGCCAGAATGTGTATTTCCAGGCCCTGTGTGTGATCTGTAGGCAGCAGCAGCTGCCGTGAGATGTGACGGCATAGCCAGCCAGAGATTGCCGTGTTCGTTCTCTTGGGTTTGTGGGGGAACAGCAGTAGGTGTCTGTGCTGATAGGTGGATAGAAGGGTTGTCATGGAGACAACCTAGAAAGTGTAGGGGAGAGAGCTAGAGTAGCGGTGTAGCTATAGAGCAGGAAGGGTTGGTTTTAGCTTTGGAGTGTAAAAAACAAAAACCAACAAAAAACAAAAAAACCCCAACAACTCCCCTGCTCCTTTCAGCAGAGTGAAGTGACAATACTCCCAGCATTTGTCATTTCCCAGTGCAGTGCGGGAATCTCTTAGGACTGGAGGGTCTGCCTGACTGCCCTGCTTACTGCCCACTGCATAGGTGAGTTGGGCTCCCCTCAGTTCCAGCCAAGGAATCGGGCAAGTCACCTTGGGACCTATTGCTTGGTCGTGGCCCCCCTGACCTGACTTAATGTTTCAGACAAGGTGCTGCTTGCTTCAGCACAGCAGGGGTAGAGAATCAGATGAATGATGTTTCCCCCCGTACCGCCAGCTAAGGCAACTGGCATTGCTGTAGGTAATGGTTGGACTGGAGGTGCAGGTGGCTAGGGTGAGGTGGAGCATATTAAGGTGGAAGCCTTCCCTGCCCATCTCTTGTTAATAGCACAGGAAGGGACCCACTGGTGACAATGACGGGATAGTGGGAGGGAATGGTGGGAAGACTCCCCCTGCCCCCCCTCCCCCCGAGTCTGCAAGAGAAATTGGATAAACCTGGCAGATGTTACCATAGGCAATTCAATCCCAGGCTCTTCCCTAAACCGGGAAATGTTAGGCCTTACACCATATTGCATCTTGCAGAATAGCTATCGAGAACAGTGATGGTTGTTTATATGACCAGCCACTGGCTGGCACTGCCCACATACCCCATGGCATTGTAACTGGAAAAGCTGTAAAGCCAGGCACTAAAATCTGGGCTGAGAGAGCTGCCGCCAAGCTAAGGCGGGGGGGGGGGAAGGTGAGAGTGAAAGACCTCCCGCTTCCTTTATTGAACTGCAAAATATCTGTCTGGCTGTGATGGTGATTAATTAGGTCTACCCAAAGGTTCAGACACCACAGTGACATATGGGAACGTAGTGGGGAAGCCATCATGGTTGGCTTGAGCTGACAGAGTTACATAGACTTCTCCCTTGTACTTTGCAATGAGAACAGACCCTACTTCCTCATTCCCACCCCTCCTTCTTATTTCTCCATTTTCTTTAGGGTTCTGGCCACTTCCTCGGTAGAGGATGATCCAAGCAGGCAGCTTGGCAGGCTGAATAAGTGTAGTCTGACCTCGGATGAGCTCCACTGCGAGGAAGTTGTCCTGAGAGGTACAGTCTGGCTCAGTCTTCCCAGTAGTTGCTCTGAGTTGGTTTTGAATGGGATGGGGACGTTGCAATCGCTAACGTGTGCCATCACAGAGAGACTCGGGCAGGAGGCAGAGAGCAGTTCCTGACGCATGAAGGATCTCTAGGTCATCACTCAGCTCTGATGGGAAAAGAAATCCAAACGCACACTGCCACGGTTTGGGGGGAAGCTTATCTGAGTGGTTGGAGACCATCTAATTTGAATCCTGCTTCAAAGCCCATTGGAACCAATGGAAAAACTTGGTGTGTTTCCAGGGTGCCCATCACTATAGTAGTTGAACTTAGCATATTAACAAATGGATTAACTGTATAGGCTACTCCTAAATCCCTCATACGGAATTAGCAGCCTTTGCCTGAGTGTATCGTGTCTGCCCAAGGATGAGAAATGCTGAGATGACCAGCGCTAGAAAACCTACCTAGGCATATTTCCATGTAATTAAATTCCCCCCCTTGCTGCTTGATTAATTTTATTTTTTTTAACGCTGTTTAGGAAATATTCAAAAGTCAAAAAATATCCAGGATGGTGGCATAGCTATAGCCAGAAGCGCAGAATGGATCCTGGTAAGTGATTGGCAGATCCTCAGGGCTCGGAATGTCTGTTTGTAATGTACAGTATCCGTTTGCTATGATATATAAAGGATCGGAACGAATACTGCTGTGTACTGATGGCATCCTGGCGGTCAGCGGGCCTGCAGGCTAGAGCATTATTGCATTGCCATGCAGGTGACGAGGTTTGAGGACAGAATCCTCTCTTCAGTTAGGGGGAGGGCTGTACCTTTGAGTCATCGGGGAAACAGTGCCTGGCAGAAGCCATCCCTCCCGAGAGGGAGGAGGAAAGGAGGCTAAGCAGAAGGAGTTTGAACTTGGCAGAGACTTGGACTTGGCTGATGTGCTGCTGTTACCTCTGGAGCCCTGTTGACTTGTGCGTGTTTTAAATCTAACACCACTTCCTGGCTGTCCTTGATTGAAACCTCACCCTTTGCTTTGGTTAAGCACTGAAGTCCAACACAACCCCGGCATGATTATTGGTCCCCTGGCCTGATTGATTCAGAAGTGTTGCCAGTCGGTTTCTTTGCATGTCCTTGGTCAGTTTCCTCATTACTTATCAGCGTTGCCCTCCCTTCCCCCACAGGCTTGCCTGCAGAAAAAGCAGCGCCGGGCCCTTAGCATCACAGAAGAGTTGAATGGCATTTGTACCCTGCTCACAGCAGACTTCCAAGAGGAGGCTTTCCTTAACCTCGGCAAAATCAGTACGGAAGGAAAACGAGCGACTTGTGTGTGGGGAGGGACCTTGACAATGGGAACTGCCTCTGTGCTGTCCACGACATCAGTTCCATTCCAGCTCCGCTCCCCTGGCGCCAGAGTTTGAGCTCAATTTTGCCCTCTGTTATCACCAATGTGGCTCTGCGGATTTCACTGGGGTTGTACGGGGGGTGTGTGTGTCAGGGTAGAATTCAGCCCTAGGCATTTTTTAATAAATGTGTGTCCTTATGTTCTGTTATATGCCTCGTGCATCCTGCATGATCAGGCACTGAGGGACAGATTTTTAAAAACATTTAAGTGACTAAGGATTCCAGCAGGCATCTAGTGGGCTTTTCAGAAGTGCCTCGGCACCTAATTCCCACTGATTTAAATCTTTAGGGATCTAAATACCTTTAAAAATCTATCCCCTAGCGCTCAGGCCAAAATGCTGGTTTGGGAGCCTCTCTGGGTGTGGGTTGTGATAGAGAAACATATCTGCATCAAAACCTGTGTTAGTTAAAAATAGGTGTTTCTAAAAACTTTTTAATGTTGGTTCTGTAGTTGAGACCAAATTTAACAACAGGGACCAAAATAACAACAACAACAACAACAAAATCAACGTTACTGACACTGACAACTTCATCAGCGCAGCTGGCAATAGCACCTCCAACAATTCAAGAAACAGCCATGCATGCAAAGGTATGTGCTAGCTTAGGTGGTCTCATGAGTCAGGGGAGCAGGGTGGAAAGGTGTGTTAGATGGGAGCTGAATAACTTTCAACCACTATTGAGAGTGAGCTGGGTAGGAAAAGGGATGATACTCAAAAGGTGGCAGATCAAGGCTGATTTGTGGCGATGTGTCTTTCATAGTAGTAATTTAGTAACCGAGCTTTTCCTGGAAGTCTCTCAGTATTGGTGTAGCACTGGTGGAGTTCCCAAGTGTAAACCACAATACGATATCAACTAGATCTACTCTGAGTGTGGCTGGATGACACGCTGGTAAAATCGGTGCCTACACCAGAATGGTGCTCCCGTCATTTCTAGTACTGATGAAGCTGCAGACCGGGGAGACGTGTCAACAGAAGCTCAGCGAAAATGCAGCCATTTTGGACACAGGTTCCAGAGCCCCTGGTGTTGCATAGGATTTTGGGGAAATAATTCCTGTTCCTCTCCCCTTCTTCGTTACTGCGAATTATGTGGTTCCCAATTTGCGAAACTGGGGAAGGTTTGTCCTCGGGGTTCCTGACCTCTTGCTAATGCTGCCCTGTCTTGTTGTCCTTTTAAATGTCTACTTTTAACTCTCCTAGCAGACTCAGGGACAGAGATCGCTATTGTTCTGGATGGATCAGGAAGCATCGAGCCTGAGGATTTTGAAAGAGCCAAGGGTTTCATCTTCAACATGATGACGTCATTCTGGAGGAAATGCCCAGAGGTGTGTGCGCTGCTCTTCCTCCTGACGTGGGCAGGCGTCTCAGAGTCTTGTCATGTTTCAATAGACAGAATAGGCGGTGATTTCCCAGTGATACTGGAAATTCTTCTGGGTTATGCACAAGGCTCGGAGTCAGGCGATCTGGATTCCAGCCTCAACTCTTCCCCTGACTTAGTGTTTGAGCAGTTCACTAACCATCTGTGCCTCAGTGTTCCCTTCTGTAAAATGGGGTGATTCCTTCTATACTATGCTTACCTTCATGCTGTCTGAGCACTCTTCAAGTCTAACGAGAAATTATGCTAATGGAATCTGTGTTTCTTGCCCTCCCTCCTACTCATGTTTCGATTTGATTGTGGAACAGCTATGCTGAAGCAGTGCAGTTTGCATTTTGCTCTGGCTTTGTACCTTGCAGAGTTGTTGTGCTGATTGACTGCTCATTGTTAAAGTGCTCTCAGATCCTCAGATGCATGGTGCTAATTAAAGGGCAAACTAAAAGTTTATAACTACATTTTAACACGATGGATTTTGAAATATCCAGAGGTTCTGTATCAATCTGTCTCTCCTGAGGGGTTTAGTGCAAGAGTGAAATCACACAGAGACACGGAGAATTGGAGTGTGGAGACTGGTTGGAGGAGCGACTAGATCAGCATGGGGGTGGGTTTTCATTCTTGCTTGTGGGTTAGTCTAGGTACTTTAGACATCGTATCACGCAAAACTCCCACGGTACTTTGAAACATAACTGAGGAAAATAAACTACAAGAGAAAGAAAGACTTCTCAGTCATTAAATTAAATTACAGTGAACCTGGTACTTGGGAATGTCGAGAGGCTGACCTACAGGGCCACGAAAGATTGGGCCAGATTAGAAGTTCAGATGGATAAAATGGCAGCAGCACTTTTCTTGAGTCAAAGGAAGCTGCCCCCTGTTCTCCTACCTGCAGAGCTGTCCCAGCAGGGGCTGCCAGAATACAGGGTGTGATGAAAGCAGAGGGAAATGGATCCATATGCTAGCTACTGTGTGCTCCATGTAGAGTTGAGAATAGCTGAGGAGATACTTCCCATCCACTGTACTTAATGCTAAGCATGGCAGTTGGAGAAAGGGGTCTGGGGATCGCTGCCTTGGCTCTTGCCTGACCTAACCAATTCTGCCTTTCCCAGGTTACGTTTGCTGTGGTACAGTATGGAGCAGAGATCCGAACTGAATTTGACCTGCAGGAAAGCAGCAACAAGTCCAGTGTTCTCTCCAAGGTCCATAACATAACACAGCTGGGCTCTGTGACCAAGACTGCATCTGCCCTGCAGCACGTGCTGTGAGTTACACACTCTCGAGAACTCATACTCTTGGCACATCTCGCCTTAAATTGCTCCCCGCAAACACCCTCTGATCCCCCCCTTGTGTCTTCTTCTCCCAGCCTGGAGCCTCTCCCTTTCCTCCATTCATAGTGCATCCCTGGCCCAAAGGTCCCACTGGCAGAGGGGGTCTGGATGTGGCTCCCCCTGGAGTCCATCAGGTCTATTCCAGGTATCCTCCATCAGAGTGGTTGTTAAAGGGCAGAGCTGGGGTTCCCTCCCAGCTGCCTTACGAACATTAGAACCTGCCTTCAGATTCCCAGTTCCCCTTGGCCTAGTGCGGGGAGGGAGGTGAGGCGTAGTGGATAGAATACAGGACTAGGACTCAGGAGACTTGGGTTCTGCTCCTGGCTCTGCCACTGTTCTGATGGGTGACCTCGGGCAAGGCATGTCCCTTCTCCGTCCCTCGGTTATAATGATACTGACCTGCTTTGTAATGCGCTCTGAGATCATTTGATGAGAAGTGCTGTTTAAGAGCTAGGCGTTATTACCCTGGAGAACAGCACAAACCCATCTGCTAATGACTTTGTGTCCTCCACACGTGTTAGTGCAGCGGGAACTTTCTCACATGCTGGAATTTCAGGGAGCCACCATCAGCCCATTGATGACCTTGACAGACATACAGCTGTGCACATGTTGCGTGTTCCATAAAACACATCTGGGTTTGCGTTTCTGCAGAGATGAGATCTTCAATGAAAACCGCGGTTCGGTCAAGGGTGCTCGCAGGATGATCCTTGTCATGACCGATGGGGAGATCTTTTTGGACCCACTGAACTTAACGGATGTGATGAGCTCCCTGAAAATGGCCACGATCGAACGTTACGTCCTGGGGGTAGGTGTGAAGTGACGTGCGAGCCCAACTCCTTTGCTATAGCTCAGTTCAAAGGCGGAAAGCAATTAGACGGAGGGAAGTGGAAAGGACTCCTGGGAGCAGCAACTTCCGCAGATAACCACGTGTGTAAGGGCAACCTGTTTAGAGTGACATTCCTCCGCTGATGCGTATACTCAGAAATTTTGGTAGTGAGCTGAGGAATAAGGAGAGGGTGAATGGAGAGGAAATCTGGGGTGGCCTAAGCATCCAGTCTGAAATACCCAGCCAGCCTTCCATTCTTCTTGGTGCCATAGAGTTTATTGTGTATGAATGAGATCCTAAAACCTGAGGTGCTGTCTGCTCTGTGAGATTTCCTGGAGTCCACATGGCACTTCTCACAAGAGCAAGGGAAGAGCAAAACTTTCCCTACCTTCACACTTCAGGGTGTGTGACTAAATTCTTGTGATCATAGAATCATAGAATATCAGGGTTGGAAGGGACCTCAGGAGGTCATCTAGTCCAACCCCCTGCTCAAAGCAGGACCAATTCCCAACTAAATCATCCCAGCCAGGGCTTTGTCAAGCCGGGCCTTAAAAACCTCCAAGGAAGGAGACTCCACCACCTCCCTAGGTAACGCATTCCAGTGCTTCATCACCCTCCTAGTGAAATAGT